ATATATATATTTCTGTACAACAAAGTTGGATGGTAACTTATACTGCCATGAAAATACTGTATTCCAAGTCTTCTGTATTCACATAATAAATTTATGTAAGGAACAGACCAAAAATTACGTGATTATCAACTGATTATCGTCTCCTTCATTGCAGCTCTCAAATCTCTTTTACAGGCGTATTTGAAACACAAAAAGCAAAGTTTAAAAATAGTGAATAATAACTTACATTTGTGTCTTTTTCTTACACAAATCTAAAATATGACTTCAAAAAGATTGGATTATAATATGTAAGTCATGCGGGCTAGTTTTATACACTTACATGGCGCTTTACAGTATAAATCACCCTCTATCTAGTGTTGCACTGAAAACGGCTCGTTCTGTTTCATGGAAGAAAAAAAAAATCCAGGGTTTGCAATGACACGAGGGTGAATAAATGATTTTAAAAAATTGTCATTGTTGGGTGAACTACTCCTGTAAGTTCAGGAAGATTTATGTGCACTGGAAGTTAAAAAAAACTGAGCAAAATCATCCTTTTCAAGTGCAGTAAAACGCACGTTTTACAGACGAGGGCCCTTTGTCACCAGTTGGCATGGCGTTTGGCTGGTGCATAATGCTGGTTTCGGTGTTATGCTGATGTGAGAGTGCAAATGCAGTGAGCACTCAGTGGTCCATCAATCGTTATGCTAATTTGGCCACTCTTTAACTAACGGCAAGTCTAAAATCCATCCGAGACACCTGCATCTGCGTCTTATGCTACAGTCGATCACTACCTGCGCTTCTTTTGCGACATGTAAACGCTGGGCTCGTGGTGTCTTTCAGCTAAAACTAAGTGCTAATGTACCATGTCATTCACAAAAATAAACATTTAAAAAGAAAATTTCACAACAAGAAAAATAATGAGGAAGTAACAACGATTCCGCCACTTGGGGCGTTGAACTCTGGCGTCAGAGTTAAGAGGCAGCTTTGTGGTGGCATACAAAACGACAGCTTCGTCTGTGTTCCTTCCCTCCATATTGCATACATACGTACATGTGGGAGTGCGAAGGTAGTATACAATAATACACAATTAAATAAAAAAATGAGCATAGTTCAGCCAGATTCAACGAAACTCAAAGTGTGAGCCTCCATGTTGGGTTCTGTGGGCTTTGTGGGACTGGTAGCACCCTGTGAACTGGCTCGAGGGGTGTGTGGCGGTCCCTGTGGCATAGATTTGCTTAGGCAAAGTACATGGTCTTCATGGTGTCGTGGTGAATCTGCACGGCTTTGGCCAGAGCCTGAGGATCCCGACCGTTACTCTGTCCAGAGACGTGACTGCCCTCCCCGCTACAAACACAGAAACCAGATAAAAGAGGACTTTAAAACTGATATTACATGCATTAGAGCATCAAAAAAAGTGGCAGTTTAGTCACTTATAATGTTACAAAAGTTTTAAATATTTCAAATATAAATGCTGTTCTTTTGAACGTTCTATTCATTAAAGAATCCTAAACAAAAATCGAATACGTATCATATTTTCACCAAAAATATGAAGCAGCACGACTGTTTTCAACACTGATAATAATCAGAAATGTTTCTTGATCAGCAAATCAGCATATTAGAATGATTTCTGAAGATCATGTGACACTGAAGACTGGAGTAATGATGTTGAAAATTCAGCTTTGCATCACAGGAATAAATTACATTTTACAATATATTCACATAGAAAATAGTTATTTGAAATTGTAATAATATTTCACAATTTTAATGTATTTTTGATCAAATAAATACAAAGCAGAAAAGATTGATATTGTTTCTGGCAATGAGACAAAAGCTCTGTTCTTAAACCTAAACAGCATTTGTAGGCGTCCTACTGATTGCATCATTTCATCTTATTTATGGATTCTTCTCTTTTCTTCTTATTTGTTTTTAGCACATTTTAAATATATTTTAAATATTTATTTCTTGCTTATCATTGTTTTTTAATTTCTCATGCATCTTTTATGTTTAAAAAAAAAATCCCTTTCATGTAAAGCACGTTGAATTACCATTGTTTATGAAATGTTCTATATGAATACATTTTTAAGCATGTACTCTAGGCTTTGTAAGTGAGTTCTAGATACAAGGGCTATTTAAAAAAAAAAGAATCTCAATGAAAACTATGAGCATTGGATGCATTCCTTTCTGAATAGGCAATGCACTGCGAAAAGCTCAAAAAATAAATGAAAATGACATGTAAAGTGAAAGAAATGTTGATTATAAACAATTATTATTTCTTCAATAATGAGAGTTTCTGGAAAAAAGTCTCAATATATAAGTATTGTAATATTAGTATTGCAAATTGCAGTGTATGTAATATTTATTAGTCCTATAATAATTCAATATTCATTATTTATTTTACAGAACAATTCATTTACAATACATACATACACACACACACATACATATATACAGTACATGTATTGCATGTATGTATGTATTAATTGGAGTTAAAACAAAAATAACAAATATAAACATAACATTATAAATGTCTCTTTTGATCAACTATAATATATAATAAGCCCTATATATATATATATATATATACAGTATATACAGTATATATATATATATATATATAGTGTGAATCTGCACAATATATATATATATATATATATAAATAATTTAAAATAAAAAATCCTACTAATAAAATTGTTAATAATTTATCTGTTCACTTTCATGTCATGTGAACGTTAACCAAAATCAGAGAAGCATGAACATGCAAAAGTGTCGTTAAATTATTGAAATATTAACCTAAAATTTTAGAGGATACATCAAGTAAATATTTTATGTCTAAGGGATTTGGCTGACAAAAAACAAATGTTGGGAACTCCTGATCTAGCAGATATGGAGAAGCAGGTCAGAGGACAGGAACAGCCCTTTTGGATGTAGTTTTCTATGTAGGCAGCAAGGCTGCTCACTAGGTTTTGGACCAGAGCTACTGTATTAAGTTTAATTAACATTAATTAATGTTAATAGCTAATGCAGTTTAATAACATCAAAACTACAGATGCTCATGATCTTGGCCTCACCTGTCATGCTCCTTATCCACCAGATGGTATCGGGCACGGAAAGCCACGAGTCTGGCGTAGTACGCAGGCGCTGGGATGGAGACGGAGCGGGTGCAGCGCACGTATGTGTGGCACAGCTGGTAGGTGAGAATCTGCAGCTCGTCAGCTGTAAAGCGATTGTCGTCCCACAGGACATAGTAGTGTGAGGGTCGGCTGGTGCCCTGAGACGAGGACCACAGAACGTCAAACCACAGTCACAGGCACACGGCCATGAATGAATGCTTGCAGCACGTCGGTGTGCTCACCTGAATACCTGCATGACTGCACAGGTAGAAATCAAACTCGAACGGATGCGTGATGCTGGTGTCGACCGTAGTTCCTGCTGGAATGTTCCCACTCTTCCCGATCTGAGCAAAACCACAGGGATTAGAATGATTAGAATGAAGACTGCTTCAAACTTAAATTAAAACTATAAAAAAAAATAAAAAAAAACAACAACAATGATTACTTTGAAAAAAACAAACTGTCCTTAACTAATAAAAAAAAAATATATATATATTTTTTTATTTCAGCTAGTTAACAAGGCAATATTTTTTTTTCATTGTTTTCAGTTTAAGTACTAAAATAACTCAAATTAAATAAGTTAATAAACATGAACTGACATATAAAAAAAACAAAACAACTTATTTTATTTCAGCTAGCTGCCAAGGCAACATTTCTCATTTTCATTTAAAACTGAAGTACTAAAATAACTCAAATTAAATAAACTAAAACCACAAAAACATTTTTATGACTTGAAATAAAATAAACATTAACTGTAATAAAACAAAACATGAAAAATCCAGCTAGTTGAATTAGACATTTATTTCAGCTACTGAATTAAATTTACATTATTTTATGTTTAATTTATTAATTTAATTAATCAATTTTTACATTCAAATGTTTTAATTTATATTAAATGTATCATTTATTTAAGCTATTTTAACTTAACATTTCTCATTTTGTTTAGATTAAGCTAAAGTACTAAAATAACTCTAAACTAAATAAACTAAAACCATAAAAACATTTTCATTAATAAAATAAAATAAAATAAAATGAATATTAACATAAAATATTTTTTAAAAGTTTAAACCTATTTTATTTTAGCTAGTTGTGGAGGCAACATTTCGCATCTTAAATTGAAGCTAAAACTTAATGAAAATTATACAGATATTAAAAAAAACGGAATAAAAATGACAAAAACAACAAAATTAAACTAAAATAAAAAAAAGATCAAGTCTAATTCAATATATTAACAAAAACTATAATAGTATATCAGTGATAGGCTACTAAAATAACTCTGCTTCTAGGAATATTAACTTTAAAGTGTTGTTTTCTGGAAACTCACTCTTTCAGATTTATCAGCGCAGAAAAGGCGGGTGTGGTGGCGCTTTTGCACTACTACGTAGGTGATGCCCGGCTGGTAGTCTTTCTCCAGCTTGATGCAGGCGTCTCTGATGGCCAACAGCTCGTAGTGCAGGATCTACACAAGGACATTTAGAATGTTACAAAGATTTCTATTTAAAAAAAAAAAAAACGCTGCTCTTTTAAACTTTCTATTCATCAAGGAATCCTGAAAATAAAATGCATGATGGTTTCCACAACAATATGAAGCAGCACGACTGTTTTCAATGTTGATAATAATCAGAAATGTTTCTGGAGCAGCAAATCAGCATATTAGAATGATTTCTGAAAGATCATGTGACACTGAAGACTGGAGTAATGATGCTGAAAATTCAGCTTTGATCACAGAAATAAATTACAGTTTACAATATACTCACATAGAAAACAGTTATTTTAAACTGTAATAATATTTCAGAATTTTACTGTATTTTTGATGCCACTGAATGAATCATAAAATGACTTACTTGCGGTAACTGTCCTTCTGGTACGCCGTCCCTGTAGAAGATGATCCTGGTGGGTTTGAAGCGGGTGGACTTGTAGAACTGGATGAGTAATTCTCGCACCATGTACGACAGGTCTTCAATGATCTCCTGTCTGGGTCGCTGTACTCGTACTGTAGCGCAGTACCTGCTGGGATGAGCGTCCATACTGCCCACCACCTGCGCAGATGAGTCGTGTCAGAGCACGTTACATCATAAGAGCATGTTGCATTAAAAATGAGGTTCAACAAAAATGATGAAAAAATTCCTGCATTAAGTGGAGAATGAGATATCAGACATGCTACCATTCAAATAAGATAAGAAATAAGATCTTTTTTGTTTTTGAGAAAGTCTTTTAAACATGATTTGAGCAAAATACAGTAAAATTGTGAAATATTATTACAATTAAAAATAACTGATTTCTATGTGAATATCTGTTAAAATGTAATTTATTTCTGTGATCAAAGCTGTATTTCCAGCATCATTACTCCAGTCTTCAGTGTCACATGATCTTCAGAAATCATTCTAATATGCAGGTTTGCTGCTCAAGAGACATTTCTGATTATTATCAATGTTGAAAACAATCATGCTGCTCAATATTTTTGTGGAAACCGTGATACATGTTATTTTTCGGGATTCTATATATATATATATATATATATATATATATAGATTAGTGCTGTCAAAATTAGCACGTTAACACATGCGATTAATTTTTTTCAGTTTAAAAATATTTAATGCACTTAACACAGTTGGCCACCCCATGCACAACTGCTGCTTCAGTCTCTTTTTTCTCGACAAGAATTGCGTTTATTTACACGCTGAACATCTTTACGACCACATAAAAGAGACGTGCACTCCAACTTCACCTCAGCGCCAGGCGCGAGTCAAACGAGCGCGGGAAAGGTACATGTGATGAGGGAGCACTGAATCGAATCAATGAATCAATGAATTATTCACTGAAACAATTACCGCCACCTACTGGCAGTTTTAGTTTCTTATTTAGAGTGTTATTTCATTAAAAAATAATTTCATATTTACATATTAATAAAAAAGCTGAAAATAAAAATACAAATTTCATATTAATAAAAAACAAATTAAAGGGATAGTTCACCCAAAAATGAAAAAAGAAAATAGGAAATTAAATAAACAAAAACAAATACTTTGTAAAGCGTTTTTTGTAATGTCTATTTCATGCTTTTCTCATGTAACACAATAATGGCTTTAAATGATCTTTTGGGGGTGATTTCTCATGAAATTTGATGTGCGATTAATATACAATTCATTTTATTAATTAATTGCAGCATTGTGTAATTAATTAGATAAAACATTTTAATTGCTTGACAGCCCTCGTTTATTGACGTGAAGCCAGTTGATTTTAGGGCAAACAGCTTCTCAGCCCAACTTGGATTTAAAATCTCATTCAAAATGCACAAGAGACTTTATAACAACAGCTGAAAGTGTTAAAATGCTGCTTGTGTGTGTGTGTTTGTGACATGCTCACAGCAGTAATAGACGGCTTCTTCCCATCACCAGCCGGCGGGTGAGTGACATCTGCTCCGAGGAAGATCACCGGCTGCTGGAACACTGCCGACCTAAATATTTTTGTGGAAACCGTGATACATTTTATTTTTCAGGATTCTTTGATGAATAGAAAGTTCAAAAGAACAGCATTTATTTGAAACAGAAATCTTTTGTAACATTATAAATGTCTCTTTTGATCAACTTAATGCATTTTTGCCGAATAAATATCTTACTGACCCCAAACTTTTGAATGGTAGTGTATGTATCAGACTAAAAATAAAATGCCAATAATAAATCAAATTAAGTGGCACAAATCAGACACCAAAAAAAAGAAAAAAATTGGTTTTGCAGTTCACAAACAAGCAACAAGATCCGACCCGTGAGCAAACAAACAAACAAACGGATGCTAAATGTGGCAAATGTGGACTTTTGGGATGAGTTTTTACCTAGCAACCAACCAGAATGCTAAAAATGACAACAACAACTAAAAAAGCTACAAAACAATCACAAGGAAGAACGTGACACAGTTGCTTTAAATGTAAACGAAGTAAAAACATCAGAGCAATGCATGTGAGCATCAGTGAAAAATCCCAATAATGCAGAACAAACATGAGCAGCTGTAGAAAACCTGCAGAGAAGGTACAGAAATCTGCTGCCCCCTAGCTGCAGGAAACAGAATGATCATCAGCAGTTCACCTCACGGTCCCTACAGAAACCGGCCTGCTGCCCCTCCCTCCACATCACCCAGCCTCTGTCAATGTTCTCGCCATCCGTCTGCGTGACTCAGGTCTTTGTCACCATTGCTTGGCAACCACCGAAAGAGTACACGCGTACAAGTGGTTGCATGCGCAGGGCGGGTGTGACATCATTTCCTTTGCATCTGTGAGTCACCGGCGAGCCATTTTCTCTTTGTAAAGCTCCCATCCTGTTCTGCCCACCTCTGGCGTGTCCTCCCTTTCACTCCACCCGTGTCCTGAGCCACTTCTGGAGCCGGCAGCAAACTGGGCGGCACTCGGCCACAAAGAACAGCAGGCTGGTAATTACAGCCTTCAGTATGAGCCTTAAATTAAGTGGCTTTCAGCTAAGCTTGGGTTTACAGAGAGTTGTGTTAGATTTATATAACTTCATTATGTCCTAGATCAATAATAGATGCTCTTGTTATATAATACATCTGATGACTGGCCAATTCAAGAAAGCTGCTTGAGTAAATCATCTAAATTATCATGCAGTTTTGTTTAGACTTTGTATAATAAATTGAAAGAAGCAGTGTATATATATTTAAGCAATTTAAATATAACAATTTAAGCTCCATGAACAAGAGGTCGACAAGGAGACACACCTAGTCGTCTGCAACGTTTCTAGTCGTTTGCAATTTATGAGAATTACTTATAAAAAATATTTCATAGAATTTGCACCTACAAAGAGCAAAGGTGCAGTACTTTGGAGTAGGAAAAAAAGAAAAATGTAAAAAAAATTAAATGACTTTTTAATTATTATTTAAATAAAAAAGTTAAATTATTACATAATTTTATATTTTCCAGCCCTTTAAATCACAATTTGCAAAAATGCCCTGATATTTCCCTAAATTTTTTGCCAAAGTTTGAACATTAATTCTGATCATAAATTCTACACATACATTTAGTGGTCGACCGATATTGTTTTTTTGGCAGTCGATGCCGATATCTTAGAGAGCAGGGTGGCCGATGGCCGATATAAAGC